TTGATTAAATGGCTCTAGGGCCTAAAATGCCTGAAACTCTCCTTCAGAGACTTGCATACGGGAAATTAAGGCTTATTTTTTCTTAACCTTTAATACATGTATGTTAAAATAACCTCATTGCTGTGTGTTTAATCTGTTCAATCGCGTACATTTTTACAAATTTTCGTTAAAAATGCCGACTGTCGGCGTCAAACGCGACTTGCTTTTTAATGCTCTTGGTAATACATACAGTAAGTTTTCTGTTCTGTATTTTTATGCATTATTGTATTGCTTGATATAAAACTTTCGTTCGATACTGTACCTCTTTTGAACAATATGTGAATTTTGCATTTTTTTTGTTTACAGCTGATGATGAGTTTCAGAAGTTGTGTTTCCAATTCGGTTTGGAATTGGACGAAGTGGTGAGTTTTGGCATCTTTTTATTTCACTTTGTAATATCTCATAAATAAGTTTTGTTTAAATTGCTATTATAAAGAAAAGGCGTTCCAATATTTTTTTCTTACATAAATTAAAACACCATGTATCTGTTTTTAGACAACTGAACAACAAATGATAGCTAAAGAACAGGGAGTTGAACAAACACAAGGAGCTTCTGATGAAATCCTTTACAAGATAGACATTCCAGCCAATCGTTATGATTTACTGTGCTTAGAAGGTCTTGTCACGGGTCTTTCAGTGTTCTTGGAAAAGATTCCCGTCCCCTGTTACAAAGCCGTAAAACCAAAAAATGTACAAAGGATTACAATGAAAAAAGCTGTAAGTACATCGTTGTAAAAAAAATTTTTTGGCACTTATTATAGATTGTTGACTTTCGATTTTTTCATCCAGTGTTTACAAGTGCGAGGGCATTTAGTGGCCGCTGTGTTAAGAAATGTTACGATAACTCAAAGCGCTTATGATAGTTTCATTGATTTACAAGATAAGTTGCATCAAAACATTGGTAGAAAACGTTCTTTGGTATCAATAGGAACACACGATCTAGATACCATTAAGGGACCTTTCATTTATGATGCTAAGCCACCACACGATATCAAATTCAAGCCTTTAAATCAAGATAAGGAGTATACTGGCCAAGAGATTATGGACTTGTATGCTGTAAGAGAAAACAAATATTGTGCATTACTAGTCAAATCGATTAATTTACTTGTTCATTAAAGATTTGTGTCATTTTAGCACCATGCACAATTGAAACAGTATTTGCCGATCATAAAAGATAGCCCTGTCTATCCAATTATTTATGATCAGAATGGAGTTGTTTTATCATTGCCACCCATCATAAATAGTGATCATTCAAAAATAACGCTCAAGACTAAAAATATTTTCATTGAGTGTACTGCCACAGATTTAACAAAGGTAAATTATAGTATATTGTAATGAATTTAGCACAATATTCTAACATGGAAGACCTTTTAGGCAAAAATTGCTGTTGATACCTTAGTTTGTGCCTTCAGTGAGTACTGCTCATCAAAACACGAAGTAGAAGTAGTCGAAGTAGTTTATCCCAATGGAACTGTAAGTGACAGTCCTGATTTAAAATATAGGACTGAAAAAATTAGTAGCAAACGTGCCACAAACTATGTGGGAATCCAGTAAGTTTACTTGGTTCATGGTATTTTTTTTTATTTCTCTGTAACAATGGTCAAATTGTAATTCTTTATAATTTTAGTCAGTCATCAGAGGATGTTGCAAGACTACTATCTAAGATGTCCTTGAAAACAGAAGTTTTAAACAATGATGACTTGCAAGTGCAAATCCCTCCCACGAGGCATGATGTTATTCATGCCTGTGATATTTACGAGGATGTTGCTATTGGATATGGTTACAACAATATCAAGAAAACAGTGCCACACACTCCTAGTATTGGAAAAGAAGTAATTTTTAAGATTTTAATACAACTTCCATTACAATAGGTTCTGAGATTGTTTATTTAAATTTTTCTAACGTTACAGTTTCCTCTCAACAAACTTACGGATCAACTGAGGGAAGCTATGGCAAATGCTGGATTTACAGAAGCTTTGACTTTTTCATTGGTAAGGATATATTATAAGTGTTGTACAAATATTTAAAATTGCGTCGTTAACATCTCGATTTGGTATTAAGTGTTCAAGAGAAGATGTTGCTGATAAGCTTGGACATGACATAAAAAAACTACCTGTAGTCCACATTTCAAATCCAAAAACCCTGGAATTTCAAGTAATTTTACTGCATAACTTAATCAAGCAGTACTTTTAAATCTCAGTTAATATAATTTTTATATAATCGTTTCAGGTTGGAAGGACAACTCTGTTGTCTGGTCTTTTAAAGACTATTGTGGCAAATAGAAAAATGCCACTGCCAATGAAGTTATTCGAAATTTCCGACGTCATATTAAAGGATCCCAAGGCCGAAGTCGGAGCTCGCAATGAGAGGCGTTTGTGCGTGGTCTATTACAATAAAATGGCCAGGTTCGAATTAGTTCACGGTGTCCTTGATAGGATAATGCATATTCTTGAAGTTCCGTGGCACAGCAACAAAGATGATGAGGGTTATCATTTGAGGCCATTGGAAGGTACATACGTCACCATTAAAATTTAGTGAATAATTTGAAAACTGAAGTTATTCTCAATCATAAATTCGTGACTTTCAGATCCAACCTTCTTCCCTCATCGTTGTGCGGAAGTTGTAGCATACGGAAAGATCATTGGCAAAATCGGAACGCTTCATCCAGATGNAAAGACAACTTAGAGTTATATTTTTTGACCGATATCATTTTTAAGTGTTGTCAAAATGTTATCGAAAAAACAATTTTTGAGTTACCATATTTAATGCAGAAAATGATAACATTACGATAACTTACGATAAGTAAAAATGATATCAATATTTTTATCTTATTCAGACATCATTATGATAAAGCCGGTGCGATTGGTTGCGGTATATATATAAGGGGCGCACGGTTCTCATATGTGGATTATAACCTCCTTCTTTCTTGCATCAGCTGTCAAGCAGGCCACATCGGATCCCGTTCGCTTTTTGTCCAGCTCTCTTCGTCAGAGGCATCATCAAAAGGTTGTGTTATTTGTTTCAATAAAATCTATACACTTAATCTTTTATTAATTTTTGTGCTCTCTGGCTCTTCTTCTTTCAACTCAAAAGTGGAATTAGTAAATTTTGATAAAGACCTTCTATTAAATCAAAATTTGTCATCTCAATTTGTAAGTATTTGGTTTGTTTACAAATTTTCTAGTTCTAGTTTAAGCATTTATAACTAAAAAACATTGAATATTTTTCTTTAGGAAAAAAAAATTTTAAGCCTGGGAGGAATAAGTTTATCTAATACTATAAATAAGATTATACCTACCATTATAACATAAACTGTGTCGTCAACTAACTTTTGGTACAGTTTTCATGGAACTCTTGCTGTAAAGGATCTCCATTTTTCATCGATAATCATAAGTATGTATTTTGATTCTGAAAACTTATGTATTTTTTAAAATTTATTAATCGTTAACATTTTTATAGGTGCTACACGAAAAAAAATTGCATCTACTGTAACAGATGTACAAGAACGCATTAAAGATTGGTTGCGTAGACCATCTGACAGGCAGAAAAAAAAGAGAGGAGTCAATCAACAGCCTATATTGTGATTAATTTTCTAATTGTGCTTAAACCAGTGATTCTTAAGTATGACATAAGTATAAAGTATTTTGTAATCGTAAAAAAACAATTGTAAAAAATACACTTTTAAAAATATCTATTATAATGAAGGCATCGTGCAATTCAAAGAACTATAGATACCTTTGAATTGAATGAATTGATTGATTAATTTATAATTTAAAGGCCATTATTCAAATGAATTATAAATTTGTTCAATTTAAAGGTATCTGTGGTTCTTTGAGTTGCGTAAATGCTACTATTATATTATTTAATACTATTTAAACGATACCCTCAAGATATCATTTAATTTACACAGCAGATATCTGTAAGATATCATTGAATTTAGCACCACAGATATCTAAAAGACATCCTTAATTCTTGCTCAAAAGACATCCATAAGAGATCAAAAACATTTACGGTATGACAACAGCAGACGTCTAAACGTTATCAATTAGTTGTCATTAGCTGATGTTTGTTTGCTGACAACTGATAACAATACGATGTCTTATCGACAATGCTTTGGCGTCAATTTGACATCTTGCCGATGTAGTTTTGATAACTTCGGTAGATATCAGCTGACAGTTCAATGATGTCGTGTAGATGTCTTATTGTCACCTTAATGTTTTGTGGGTAGAGCCATTTACTCAATTATAAACCAGCCGCAACTAATTTTGTAAATAGACAATAAAAATTCATCATTTTTTGTGCTATTTGCGGCAAGTTAACAATTTATCTTTTACCGGAATCTACCAAAATCGACCATATGGCACTACTTAGACTTACTAGTAGTGATTTTACACAACACTTGACGTATAGCCTATCTTACTCTTACACCGTGCTTTTTTTTACCAGAATATACTTAATGATAAAATCCAAAGTAAATATAAGTAATGTACAAAGTTAGTGTACAAGTAAATGAAATAGAAACCGTCTGCTTTGCAACTTTGTGTACGCGCTTTCGTGCACTCGTATGTTATGTGTTTTTGTTTTTTGTGCACTCTTCATTTCTTCAACTCTTCTGTGTTTTTTTTATACTTAGATGTCGTGACTCGTGACGGGGCTTCCGTATAAATATGTGGGATACCAATTAAGCTCTCCCGCGTATCCTAACCTCAAACGAGATTGTTGTTGCTCTATTTTTGTAACTTCTATTTTCTCACGTGGGAATTCGACAAATAGTTTAATTATTATTGTGATGTATAGTGAATGAGTGCGGAATAACTTTGTATTGAATATATATTGCAGAGGTTGAATTTTTGCTCAAGTTTTATTGCATGGATTCATATACTTTTTAATTATAACTGTAAAATACCTAATTGATTGTTTCTACACCTTCTATGATACTAATTCTGAGGGATTATTTACAGCCAAGTATTGAAAGTTTGAAGGATCACTTATAATGACGGCACTGGATTTGGATCCACAATTTTTGCAAGCTCTGCGTTTGCTCCATTCCAACAACAGAGACTCTGTCGAGCAGCTACGGAGCTTGCTGGATGAAGCCATTCGACAAAAGTATGGAGCATCAAAAATGTTAACCAACACTTTGCATAAAAAGGTATCACTGTCTATTATTTGTATTTACCAAATATTACTCTATGAATTGTCACATTATTATTTTAAATGTAATGTTCAGTATGCCACGGAAGAACAGCTAAGCGATCACAGTAGCACCAGTAGCAAAAAGAGCAAAAGTTCCAGCTCATCTAAGCACTCAAAGTCTAGCAAAAACGATTCACCCATCATTATACGAGAACCAACTCCTGATCCTCTTCAGAGTGATGATAATTTAGCAGATATTTTGGAAGATGTTGCATGTGTTATTTGTAATGAGATGAGCGTTGGTGCAAGGAACAGATTGGTTGAATGTGTCAAATGTGGTTCTTTGTATCACCAGGAGTGCCACACACCACACATTCTTGACTCCCAAGTTGACAGCCATCCAGGAGAGTGGTACTGTTATAACTGTACAAGGACACAACTAGTACGTTTTAAAAACTCGCCATATTTGGTTTTTTTTTTTTATATCAGAACAATTAGTAAAGCTTAGCATTATTATAAATTCATTTTTTTTAATTTTAGCCTCCGAAGGAAAAAGAAAGGAGCTCACCCAAGAGTGTCTATGAATCTAAAACCAAAGAGTACAAAAAGTCATCTTCGTCGTCGTCATCATCTAGTAAGTGTCCACTCAATTTTCTTAATAAATCTTTTATGATCTGAGATTCCCTAGAAACTTTTTAAATCACGTATAACAAAAAAACAAGGAAAAAACTTTATTATACATTTATTAAAATCTTTTAGGTTCCAAACATACAGATGGTAAGTATAAATCATCCAGCTCTTCAAGTCAACAAAGTACCATTGGTAGTAACACTAGTGGTTCTAATTTAAAATCTGTACCAAACATCAATATAGTCAGTGCCGACAAACGACTAAAAGATATGATAAAAAAGGCCAAACAGGATAAAAGGGGCAGGAGTGGTACTTCCAGTTCTAGCAAACATTCATCTACTTCCAGTTCTTCTAGGAGCTCCCATGATAAGTCTCATAGAAATAAATCAGACTGAAATTACTTTTGTAAAGTGTAAATATAGACTATAATGTTTTACAAATATTTGTAAATGAACTGTATGTAAATTGATTTTGTAAATATCAACTCCAGGAGCAAACGAAATTTTTTTTCTGGTTAGATCAATATCAATTTTGTAAGGTAATTAGGTTTTAGTTTTCACTTGATAAATAACGTAAAACAAATTTTACTTCGTAACTATGATAAAAATAGAGCAACCACTGCCAAATAATTTCAAAAAGTGCTAGAAGATCATTGTAATTTTTATTTTACTTTTACTTTAATGATTTCTATAATGGATTTATTGTAACATTGGGGAATTTTCTAATAGAACTATTTTGTCACATTTTCAGTTATTGTGGCTTACAAAGAAAATAATTTTTGTAAATAGTGAAAAAAAAACTTTATTTCAATAAATTTTTCTGGCAAATCGTTACACTAACTGTAATTTGAGCTCTATTTACTGAAAATTAACCAAATACTAATGGTAGAGCTAATGAAAATGGATAAAAGTTAAGTAGACAATGTATGGACAACGACATAAATGAAAGATTACATTTATTTCAAGTACTGCAAGGTTGCTCTTTTCTGTTAAAAAAGCAACTCGTGTAAATATAATCATCTTAGGTATACGACTGTGGTACAACACTAACTATTCCATTAAGAAAATTGCGTAAAGGCAATTAAGAAAATTAACATTTAGCATAGCATGCAGTAGATGTATTACAAGGACATTAGACAGTACTGAGCTCAAAATAATACTTGAGGTACAAAAATGGTCCTTACGAAGAGGAGCCATATGTTACGAAAAAAAATGAGTATTGCGTTTGACAGTCTAGTTACAGGTTCTGATACTTTGGATTTACACTGGATCCCCGTTGTCATAACAAGTGTACGCAGACACAAAAGATGCTGCGCCTTTTTAATTAAGAAGGGACCGTTCGTTAGCGAGATTAAAATCCAAAGGCACGACAGCAAGGGTTTGGAAAAGGAGCGTGAAAAAGTATCCGCACAGGTAGAACAACAACCTACCTGGACTTTTGGCTGTTAAAATATAGATCGTTCTTTGCAATTCAATTTACGACACCCGCGTATTTTCCAATCTGCATAACGAGCCATTAAATTCAGTCTGTACGTGGTAGGGCACACTTTTTAATTAAAAAAGAAAAAAAAGGGATGGTACAATTTCATGCCCGGCAGGTGGGTAACTTTATAATGCCGGGCAGAGGGCAGAAGTGTCTCTGTGTATGTATATGCAATACGTAAAAAGGGGGGGAGGAGAAAAGGCACAACGACCAGCTAGGAATTGTTGACAAAGCATTTCAAGATAGATTAAGTTTTAATTTCATTAAATGTATACGTATACGCCGGCACGCACCACCGTCGTCAACAGTTCTCTATTGTACTATGCGGACCGCGGAGATGGAGAAAGAGCGATACAACTCTTTGACGATGAATCTCATTGTGTGCCACCCACGTTGGGGTGCGCGTACAAAAGTTGGCTTAAAATTCCAAATGAATTTCTCTCTCTTTCGCGCTAGGGTTGCGCAATTCTAAGGTGTTTGTCATACACCCACCACCCTCCACCAGTATGCACCCGACGAATGTAATCTCGGGTTTTACAGCAGCCCCAAATGAAAGGATGAAAAAAAAAAAAGAAAAGAATTGGTTTTTATCTTATTTGTTTCAAACCAATCGAAAAGTCACCTGTCCCTTATTTAGCCACCATAGCTCTATAGCTCAAGTGCTGGAACAACCGTGCGGGAGGGGGAGGGGCGGAGGGGAGATAATAACGAGCGCGCTCGCGTCTAATTTGGAGCTTTGGCCGCGCGTCCGAGCGTATACTTAAATTTGCATGTCTTTGCCGGTACTCCGAGCGCGGGATGATGATGATTAGCGCGTATGCCTTTCAAATTCATTCAAATTGGGTTTTGTGGAAATTGTAAAAATTATTATTAACGCGTTGTTTTTCCAAGGTTTCGGTGTTACCGGACGCAAATACAGACCGTATATATAGGTAATTCAAATGACACGTGTACACGCGTGTTGATTTATCATGCCCGAGTTGTCACTCGCTTGTACTCGATCGCAATTCAAGTTATAAATAAACACCCGGAGCGTTTTAACGCTCACGTAAACGATTGTCCGCAATGCTCGATCGTACATATACTCATTTATGAATGAAAATTAAACGTACTTTTGCCCGCGTATGAATATTATCCATCGACTCTACATGTATTATACACGTGCTTTGTCTTTGGGACATGAAAATAATCAGCGGAAGAACTCGTTCACATGATAATAATGTACTATTTAAAAAAAAGTGTACGCATATTCAAACGGAGATGGAGATACAGGCAATAAGTGTACTTTTTATACGTTATTGTCGTCGCGTGGCGTGGGTCGAGGCAAGAGGTTCAAGCTCGATCTCTATCTGTCGTTGTTCTTCTGTTCGTGTAAAGCAGGGGGGATGCACATACAACTGGGGCTTACTGTGGGCGGTTCGCATATCTCGGCCATGCCATCAGAAGCAGATAACACCGAGCCCCTGTGACTACGGTGGTTGTGGACTACATCAGGGGTTGCGCCAATTTGTCCATTGGTCGGAGTCGGCATTGGTAGACCGGAGGAGGAAGCAAGGGTTGGTGTTGGGGGGGGGGGTTATTTATTTTTTTTTTTAGAATTTATTTTCCTGCATGCATCGATTATCCGTGGTTTTGTTTTTCCGGTGTGCGGGCAAATCCCTCGAGATCGAAGCTTACGTGTTTGTTTTTAAACCTTGCCTCGTTTTTGCATAAAGAAAGCTCTCAGGAACGAAGCGGGATGCGGGAAACCATCGCTTTTATCTACGTATGCAAGTACTTACAAAAGGACACTCCAATGTTGTATTTGACGGAGAAAAAAGTGTGATAGCCACAACGATGTAGTACCAAATAACGCAAACAATTCGAATGACGCTTGTATGGACGGTAAAAACGTGTACGAATGTTTCGGTGTACGTAGCAAGCATATACCTATAAATAAAATTTTAACGGCTCTGCTCTCAAGTTGGGTGGGTGTATGTCTGCAGTAGTGGTAGTTTAATCGTAGGGAGTTGAAATGAGCTATTGGATTACCCACAATGAGAGGGAGAGATACCCAAGCGCGTAAGAAGGAGAAGAAGGTGCGGGGAACGAAGGACAAGAGGAAGACATCGGAGCTTCGCTTATCGCAGTTGAGCTTTGCAAGCTACGATTACTATATACTTATACTTACTACGACGAAGACAAGTAAGTATATATGACACGGCCGGCTTGGGTTTCTAATTAACACTGCGTCTAATGTGCGTGTGTACACGGTATGGGTTGTTTTACGAAGCCGTTCCTTGTTCCACCGTGTTTCAGTATTTACAACAGCGCACAATGTTATTCGTTAATTTTGTTTTTCGTTTTTTTCGTTTTTTTTTTTTTTTCTTTTTTTTTCAGAATCTTTTTTAAACTTTGTGAAAAATTGGCTTCGAAATGTGTGTTTTTTAAAACAAAACTGAAAAATAAAAAAGTCATGAAAAAATTCCACTTTTTGGGGTATAGATGACTTGTAAGAATCTAATAATAGGTTTGTTAATCGAATGCCGTGTACTATCAAACGTCACGTGCAACAGTCAACTTGATGAACATGCGAGCTCGGCGTGCATAGTTAACCTCGTTGAAAAAAAAAAAGAAAAAAAAAAAAAAACTGATTCCCGACTCGATAAATACACACACACACGCGTGTACACGTAATACCCATATTAGCGCTAATCGAATGTAAAGCCGACGATTGTGCAAATCACGCGCGTTCCGGCCCGATCAATCCAGTTATCCGTCCATTTTCATTGTCCGCCCCTCTTTTACAAATTAACCCGAAGCGAGGAAGGCATAATTTAATGAAAGAGCGGCCCCGATCGAATTTCGTTTCTCTTGCTTTCGTCGCGGCAAACCTGTATACAACGCACACAGGAGGGAATGTTGAGAATTTCAAAGATTCCTGCCGCGGCAGCTACCAAATTCTTCCCTTTAAATTTCTTTTCCTACGAGTTAGCAGCTACAACCCCCTACCACCCCTTTAACCTTTGTAGAACCCTTCGTTTTCAACGGGCCAATAGAAGCAGGCACGCGTATAACTATTTCCTCGAGGGGTAAAAAAAAAATAAAAAAAAAAAATAAATAAAATAAACAAACAAAAACGTGAAAATAAAACCAAAATAGACATCAGGCTATGTTCGCGACGGAACAACCCGCGGATGATTTAGACCTACATTATACACATACACAAGGAAGGGGTGGATATACCTAGAGAGAGGCATTGTAACTCTCGCTGATCCTTGGCGGCTTCCGTTCGTTCGTCCCAACTTTGCTGTGTTGGGCTGTAAGTATACATGTATATATATCACCTCGCATGTATACTGTATGGCTTTACATTTGTACGCGCCGCGCTGTAATGACTGTTTGCAAGTGCTTTGTCTCCCCTGACCCCCCGCGAGCTGCAAACTGCGTTGGTTATATCCAGTCCTCGCCTCTCCCTCCGACTTGCACCACCGGAGCGACGGTTTAACAAATGTCGAGGCTCCGGCCCCGTGTGTGTGCATATATAGGTGTATACCCGTGCCCATTACGATTTATGAAATGGGAGGAAAAGAAAAAATAAAACACCATATTAGATTTGTCGAATATAATTATATCCTTTAACGAAGGTGGACGCGTACTCACATACATATAAGTAGGTATATGTAACGTATAACCGCGAATGTGGTCGACCCAAAGGGACGATGCGAGTGTAATCTAAGGGTAGTAAGGGGGGGGGGATTGGTGCAGCAGCAGTTGTGGGGTTCCGCGTGCCAATTAGCGATGACAGGTTCGTTAGCACGCGCGCTCTCTCTCTCTCTCTTTGGCGATGCTTTAATCTTTGAAAAATTGAATCCGTACGTCATGTAGGTACCCTGCTTCCGCGCGCGTTTCAAAAACAACGAGTACGCTGTAAAACTCTCCCTCGTTTGGTGAAACGTTTTTGAGCTTTCCATCGTTATGTTATATACACAAGTACTTTCGAATGAAATAAAAACAATAAAAAAAACCAGTTAATCTTCACATTAATACTATACCTGATGTAATATTGTTCAAAGGGGTGAATCGTGCTGTAACTAGCAAAGGCGATCGATTAAAAGTGTATATTTATCGACTGCAACGGGGATTATGTATACATATATATGTATTCGCAACGGAGCATTATCAATGCAAGTCAATGGCGATGCCCACTACGAGGTATGCTTACCGTATTTATGTTGTTGCTTTATTTTACTTGT